ACATCACACTTGGAAGGGTGGAGGGACAGTGCAAGAGAGGAAGACCCTGGATGAGATGGATTGACTCAGTGACTGAGGTAATGGGGTGTAGGTGTGTTAGAGACAATGAGGTAAGCTCAGGATAGAGCAGGGCTCAGAGCTGTTGTACACAGGGTTGTTATGAGTTGCAAGTGACTCAATAGCACATAACAACAACCACCCTGATTGTGCTGCAATCTCAAAGCCATGCAGTTGTAATTCACCATCAGCAGCTCTGCTGGAGGAAGATGGCCCATGCGATTTACTGCCTTTGAAAACCCACTAGAGAGTTAGCTGTGGGTCAGTTTCCAATGGCACACAGCAACACAATGTACTGAAGCAGATTCTAGGAATCTTGTTCAAACACAGATTCTGATGTAGTATATCAGAATATACTATGGGGTGGTAATGTAAACTCTCAGTAAGGAGTTGAACAGGAAAGAACTGGTTCAAAGCCATGGGCAACTTCTTCAGACCATTGCAACAAATCAGGGAGTAGGCAGAGTCTTTGGTCAGTGATGACCAGTAGGGACTAAGAAACATGAAAATTATTAATTTGACTATGCTATAGTTCAGCTTTCACATGAGGACAAAGTAAACATTTGAAAGCAGTCAATGAATTTCTGTTGTTAGGAGCTGTCCAATCATTGTCAACTCTAATTGACCTCACATGGCAGAACAGAACAGCCCAGTTAAGTTTTTCCTGGCTATAATTGTTATACAACTTTTTAATTAGCAGCAAAGGACATACCTTTCTAATTTTATTTATTTTGTAGAGAACACCAGTTCCATTTACTTTATTACAATACATTGGTTTGGTCTACATAGAAAATAGAGACAATTATTTGAATCTCTTTGTCTCATTGTAATTGAGTGAAAATCAATGTATATCTGACTTTCAGCAATTTTCTGAGGCTATAAACTCCACAACATTGCCCATCTTTCTTCTCTGTAATCATTGGTGGATTCAAACCACCTGAGAGATATAGCTTTTGGGTTAGCAGTGGGACCCTATAAGGACTAAGCCACCAGAATTCTTTCATTTTCCAAATAACTCAGGCCAAAACCACGTTCCCATTTAACCATTAAAATAATCATCTTCCTCACCACTGTTCTTCTAATTATGAAAAGCTTATAATATGAAAGTTTAATACTTCATTCTACTTTATTCCCGTTCCTTCCCAAAATGAGCTAGAAAAGCATAAAAGTAAACCAAGGCTTTCTCTTTAAATAGACATTTCTAATCCAGTGAGTGTCAGTGTTTATATTTAATTAGATATTTGCATAAATATAATAGTTAAGTCTACATGCAGAACAGATCATCCAGGAGGTTGGGCTCTGTGAGGAGAAATGTGGCGTCAGGACTTGAGGAAGACTCATAACAACCTGCGTTTTGCAGAAGGCACAACTCGCTGAAACTGAGGAGGACTTGAAACGCTTGCTGCAGAAGGTCAAGCACTGCAGCTTCGAGTACAGATTGAAGCTCAACATCAAGAAAACAAAGATTCTCACCACTGGGCCAATTGATAGGTAGCACCATGCTTGATGATGATGAGACTGAGATTGTTAACAGCAGCCAGGAAATCAAAAGAGAATTGCATTGGGAAATTTTGCTATCAGGGACCTTGCCAGAGTACTGAAGAGCAACTATGTCAGTCTAGAGACTGAGGTGTGCCTGATTCACACCATAGTCTTCACAATTACTTGCTGTGCATCAGGAAGCTGGAAAATGACTAGGGATGATAGAATGAGAACTGATGCCTTTGAGCTATGGTGCTGGAGAAGAGTATTCAATATAACATGAAGTGCTAGGAGAAAAAAACAGGTTCAACCTGGAGAGGGTGAAACTAGGCTAGTCCTTGAAGGCAAGGATATACTTTGAGCATGTTGCAAGAAGGAACCAATCCTTAGAGAGGGATATCATGCTTGGGAGAGTAGAGGGACAGCACAAAAGAGGAAGATCTTGAATTAAATAGATTGGCTCAGTGACTGGGGACATGGAGTGGGTATGTCAGAGATGTTGAGGCTGGCAAAGGATAGAGCAGTATTCAGAGCTATTGTACATAGGGTCACTTTGACGGCACTTAACATCAGCAATAACAAAGTAAAATTGCATTCAGTATGCAGCTTTGGCTAGGCAGGTCTTCAAAACTGAAAGGCTATTGTTATTTGGAAACGACAGACCAGTTTTTACATAAAGATATAAAACATAATATTCCATTCCTAAGTCTCAAGGATTGTGTTCCTAAAAATCCTGGTTGTCATGTTATTGAAAATAAGCAGGAAAAAACCCCTCCCTATGAATATCCATGATACATAAAAATTTTACTAATAGAAAACTATACATCATTTATTACACAAAGATTGATAACTTTTTTATAGCAAATCATTAATGAAGCATATAATCACTTAATTTCTATTTGCCTTCTTTGGTTCATCAGAATTTTAGATTCCCCTTCTCCACAGTTTTAACAAAATGCTTGTAAATTAATTTTGCTCTGTTCTTGACGGATATGCAAAGGCCTTGTTTTCTGTGTATAAGCACTTTAAATACTTAAGCCCTCAAATGCCTACTCAGCCAGAGGTACCTTAGCAAGGCCCTGTTTTAAGGGGGTAAAAAAAAATCAGCTATTGGAAACTCCATGGAGCATACTTTTACTCTGACACCCATGGGGTTTCCATGAGCTGAAATCTACTTGCTGTGGGTTTTGGGATTTAGTTGAAGTCTACTTACTGTGAGTTTTACTGTTGTTGCCGTTAGTGTTTTAAGCTTTTCTAGGTCTAATGAAAGTCAGAATTGAGGATATGGAATTCTCCAAGTTAGCAAGGAAATACAGACTTCAATTTGCCTAGAATAACATTTGCTCTAAGGAGAGCTAATAGTTTAGTGGGTAATAAGTTGCTACAGCCAATCTGAAAGGCAAGCAGTTGGAACGCATCAACTATTCATGAGGAGAATGATGAGTGATCTTCTCCCCCACAATTTACAGCCTCTTAAAACCCATGACTTGATGATAATAAGAGAGAGAGATAAGGAGAAGTAAAAGGTAGCGAGAAATTCCAATATTGTCTATATCCTCAAGTGTCCAAATGTGCTCCCAAGTCCATTTAAGCAATGCTGCACTTGGCTTTAGGACACAAACATACTCTTGAAAATAGACACAAGGCAAACTTTTATGAGTCAAGTCACATTTCAGAGGCAGTAGGAGAGCTTGGTATAGAAAGGCATGTTTGTGAATATCTAATGGATTTTTCTAGGCCAACAGCTCAGAGAAGGTCAATCGCGTGTATCTATGTGCAGCAATGGAATGAAAAATAAAAATCGTTGGACTCAGCCTCTGTCAGTAAAATCACTGGGCCTCCAGCCCCTAGATCCTTTCCACGGGTGGTCTTAAAGGTCTTTCCAAGACAGCCTGGTGTCTTCAGCTTTTCCCCTTTAACTCCCAAACCCCAGAAAAAGACTCACGTTTGGGCAACCTCCCTCCCACCCGTCTCTGTTCCTCTCAATATCGGTGGTGACATCACCACTCTTGTGTGCATTTCGAAGTAGAAATGGGCTAAGGGCCAAGGAAATGGCCCTCAACTTCAGTCACATGCTAACTTGGCCTTTTCTTTAAATTCTTCACTGTTCCTCTATCCTGAGGAAGAGGACACATGTCCAACCAGGGATGAACAAGTAAATCATTTATCATTTTGGTGACCTTTTTTTTTTTTTAAGCAAAGAAGTACGTTTTGGAATTCAGACATTATCACATTTGAGAAAAGTAAATCGGTACATTTACTGTATATTATATAACATTTTCAACATGATCTAGGGCAATGCACTGTAATCAAGCACAATAATATAACTCAGCAAAATACATGAATATTCACACTAAGTGAGATAAATAATGACTATAAATAGCCTCCCTTCAGATCATATGTTTGCCACCAATGAGTTCACACAGGGTTAGAGTTTGCTGCTAAACGACTCAAGGTGATTGAAAAAAATTCCACTCTTTCCTTTTTTCAGAGCCTTCAGATTCAGAATTGTAAGTAAGGGATTGTGGATGTATACTGTGGTTGAATAAGGAAGACACCCAGTGTGCTTCATTATCTGCCTCTTTGTGGAAGTCAAGTCTACAACATAAGTTGCCTAAGTTAGAGAAAGTCGTGCTGACCCTCCCCAAGTCCTTGCTTAGCAGCCATTATGGAAACTCCTTTCCCTCTCATGACCTGTGAATTCCGTAGTAGTCTCGACTCCAGGGCACAGCATCCCACTTCCTGTATCTAGATTTGTAATGCCTGGTCTCAATTTCTACTTTCAGGCTTCTTCTATCCTCTAACCTGAGGCTACATAAACTGATTTGGGGCCAGTGTAATACTCTGATTAAGCCAGAAGACTCATAGTCTGGGCATAGAGCAACCAGCCTGCATCCAGTAGGTCGTGTCTAGTTTCTGCTAGCATCACTCATACCAAATTCTCATCTTGTTCCCCCATCTTGAGCCTTAGATAGGGTTCCGCAACTTGGTACCCTAGGTCTGCAATCTTACTTTATCTCCTCAGTCATCTGGAAATTGAAGCCCTACTCTTACAACCTGATTCTATGGCAAAACCCAATTTCCAACCTCCAAAATTTCTGTCAGAGGTTACAACCTTCTGTTTCTTCCCTGTTCCCAGTATAGACATCAGATTTTTAGATTCCAAGTCTTTTTTTTCCCTCCCTCAAATAAGAAAAGTAGCAGTATTTGCCCCAAGATGGAGTAGATTCTTAGATAAATGCAATCCATATCATCAAGAGTGATGATTGCTAAGACCAAATGGAATTCATTTTTCAGATTCTGTAGAGGCATCTTCTATCATTTACTGGAACAAATGTTGTATCATAATGTGTTAGTAGGCATAACAACTTCAAGTGCCAAGTAAATTCCACAGCTCGGATTTCTCCAATCACTGCTCAAAGCCTTGCTGGGTAAGCAATTTCAGTGAAAGAAATACTCACTGTGAAATAAAGTGGTTGAATTCCTCACACCATTTTTCTGGATGAAGTAAAGTAGGTGGAGGATTTCTGAAAAACAAAAACAGGGTTTTTTTCCTTTACAAAAATAAAAAGTTAATAGCAAAATATTGAGTTGGCCTTATTGATAGAATTCTAAATATCTCTAATAAAATCTACTCTGTTTTTCCCCAGGAGGAATCATTCACTGGAGAGAAATTATAAACTGCCAGAACCTATTGCTTCAGTCATTCATTTTCACTGACTGAAGGCCTACTATGGTCAACATTTTCTGCCAGAAGCTAATCAGGAACTCTTTGAGGACTGAACACTAAGCAAGGGCGACACTCACTATAACTGAGAGCTGAATACTACTGGTACTATGAGAAAGCTATAAACACAACACCGTGCCTGGAGCTTTAGAGAAATAGAGTTTTTATTTTAGAGGGTTTGCAGATCATTCAGTACCGTTTGAATTAATTATATGACATGTTTAGAGTAGGCTCATCAATTTCGTTTGTAAGCATTTCCAGTGTCAAATATACAACAGGCTCAGAAGAGAATAAAATAGTCACAATTTATACTCCAAGAAGCTTCTAGGTAGAAAAGACAGAGAGAGAACCATCAGGAGTTCAAGAGAGCTGAAGAACTGTGGTAAGACACTAGGGAGCCCAGGGTGAGATGTGAGAAGACAGGAGAAAGAGGAAAGGGAATGACCTGAATTTAACTCAATATTTATTTACTCCAAAGAGATTAAATTTTTAAAACCCCAAAGAGAATCAGTTTTAAAAACTCAAAGACATTATATTTTAAAATAGAAGCAATTACATTTTACCTTACAAATTTTCCCCCTAGACATAAATGGAAAGAGGAGCTTGTGAGTAAAATTCACAAAGTAATTAAGGTTACATTTCTGCACACCTGGTTTATGATTGCACATATTACGCTCATTACATGTTTGTTAAGCCATGGATTCCTCAGCTCCAATCCTTAAGGTAAGAGATGAGAATCATCAGGGATTACCAGAAATGAAAAATACATCAGATACTATGATTACAAGGGGGCTCCCAGTATTCATTTTTCTTTCATTTCTCCCAGTACAACTTTTCTTCTGGCACACTTCTGTCATAATAAGGATTTTATTTCTCACATTTCCTTTCAGCTAGATATGGTTAAGTGGCCAAAGAGATATAAACAAATTCTTCTATGAGATTTGCAGAAATAAATTCTCCATAAAAGGGAGAAAACTTTTCATCTTGCTTTTTCTCCCATCTTACTTCCTGGAATTCACCATGTATCATATGAGGTGAACTTGAAAAATGAAAGTTATGAGCTGAGTATGGAAAAGCATATCCACTAGGTTAATGATGACCACAATTATGCCAGACTCTCTTTCCCAACTCAATTACTAACTGAATCATATTTCAGCCATATAATATTCCATCATATGATGGAAACACTGGTTAACAGATATATTAGAAGTCCAAATACACACACACACACATACACACGCACATTAAAGAGCAAATTATCCAATCTGGGGAATCCTAGATTTATAAAAATGAACCTTAGTTGAACCCTTAAATTTGAGTTGGGTTGGAGTTTTAAAAATAGAAAAGAAGAAAGTCATTTCAGATTTGGGAAACAACATACACCAAGTCTTAGAAGTGTAAAAATGCTTGATAGGTTCAAAGAACCGGATTAATGTTGAGGGCCGGCTATCTTACTTTTTTGAAACTGAAGTAGGAGCAGGTAGGGAGGGGTAGGAAGAAGAGAGGAAATATATGATCTGCATAAGAATGTAGTGGTCCTTTGGATCTATCTGAATCAAAGACCCAGAGAAGTTGAATTTTGTTCCTCAGTTATTTCAGAGGTTTCCCTTTACCTCGTTTATTCTATTAACAATAATTTCCACAAATAGGAAGAAAAATGATCAGACGGAAGAGACAGTCCAACCAGAAAGAACAAAGACCCCTAGAGACCATGCCGGTTGGTCTTCAGTTTCTTTTGTGGGTGTCTCTTCCAGTGCTATACCTGGAATATGATTGACTTCTGATAACCTTTTTCTCTTCTTATTCTACACATTTACTACAGGTTTGCAACATTTGTATGTTGACAACTCTTTACTCTGTGTCTTTTGCTTCATTTTCTCTTCTGCCTTTTGGCTAGCATATCCAACTACTTACTTTGTTGTTGTTGTGTACTGTGGAATAGGAACCAACCCATACCTGAACCTCTGGTGGGTTTTCAGGGGCAGTAAACACACAGGAGGAAACCACCCATCCTTCTCCCACGCAGCTTGTGGCCTCAAACAGCGTGTCTTCAGGATTGCAGGGCAGCTTCTTGTCACTAGGCCACTAGAGCTTCCTTAACTATGTACTAGCTGGTCCAATTTTGATTTTCCAAAGACACCTTGAAATTAGCATATTAAAGACCAACCTCATCTTCTTTCCCAAAAGCAACATTCAACTTGGTTGCTGAAGTAAAAAACCAGAATTCTACTGTCTCCTTTATCCTTCACATCCCCACACCAATTGCAGAATGCAGAGTAATGCACCCTCCCCTAAAAATAATCACAATCTTAAACCTAATTAATCTACATAGCAAAAGGACTTGGTTGACATGGCTAAGGTTAAGCACCCAGAGAAGGGTAGATTATTCTGGGTTATCTGAATGGGACCAGCATTGTGATATGGAGACCTTTAAAAGAGAAGAAGGAGTCACAGTAGTGAGTGGAAGAGATGTGGCAATGAAAGGAGAGCCAGAAGAGATTGGAATTGTGGAAGGGATTTGCCTGTCATCGTTGATTTTGAAGATGGAGGAAGAGGGGCATAAGCCAAGATGGGAATGAACCTCAGGTGATCCCTAGCAAGGAAATGGGGATGTCATTCTGCAAACACAAGGATCTAACTTCTGCCAGGTACCTGAATGACAAGGAAACAACCCTTCAAAAGTCTCTCAGAGGGGGTACAGTCTGATGAAAACTTGACTTTGACTGAGATCAGTTTCAGATTTCTTACTTGCAGAATGTAAGAGCTATGCATTTATGTTGCTTTAAGATGATAGCTTTGTGCTAAATTGTTGATAAAATGAGAAAACATTAACATACTTGCAAGAGGCAAAGGGAAGAGCTCCTCACCAGGGCTTCCGAGATAACAGCCCTGCTAACACCATAAGCTTTAATTATTTTGGTTCTAGAACAGAAAGGTAACAAATTTCCATCATTTTAAGCTACTCACTCGGTAGTATTTTGATATTACACACCAAGGAAACAAATACAAGATCCTATGTAGCTTAAGCCAGACAAACACAAAACAACTCTTGGATATGACCAAATTCTGACAAAATTAAGTCACTGCATGACGAGTTTGAGAAGGAATAGAGGAAGTCTTTTTTTCATGGTGTCATGAGTTGGATTTGATAATGCAGGCCTTATCCTTACACTTTTAAAAAATATTTTTTTATTTTATTTTATACTGGTTTACTTACAAAGTTCATATGCATTGGATCTTTCCCCTTTCCTTTACCGACCCTGCCCTGGTCACACAATATCTTTACACTTCTGAAGCTCAAATGTCTCCTATTTCCTGAGTAGATCTGACAAAGAGAAGATAATATAGAATTTCAGCCTCATTATAGACTTAATCTGTTATCAGAACCATTACTGACTCCTGAATAGTGAGTTGGGAAGAGAAGGCAATAAAAAGCCAATAACTATCACATGTTGAGTTCATATTCCCCCGAAGCTCTACACCAACTATCTTCCGTATATTAGGGCAACTGAACATCACAGCATAGGGATTATTATGGATGAATTATGATTTAGGAATTATTGTTCCAGTTTTACAGGTAGAGAAAATGCAACTTAAAGCAAGACATTTCCTCAAAAGCATGCAGCTAAAAAGTGGGAGGGACAGGTTTTAAACCTCCGTATTTATTGTCTCCAGCAACCATATACTTCACTGCTTGCTTTTCTGTGTTTTGTTTTATGAGGAATCCATTAATTTGGAAGATGAATTAAGAGAAAATATATGCATAAAATGACAGAAAAGCAATTAGCAAGCAATACTTTGAGAGGGTGCGAAATGAAGTCCTCAAACATTAAAGCACACTTGCCAAGAAAAGACACCAAGTAAAAGATTTATAAACGAGGCCAAGTTCATTTAGAAAGGCTTCCTGGATTGTGTGAATATGGAGGCAAGGCCTGGATAGGAGTGATATGAACCATTTGACAAGAAGAGAAGGATGAGAGCCAGGGAGAGATGGAGACTATAAAAATATAAAGCCTGAAATGCAGTATGATAATTAGTAAGTATGTGTTAGCATACAGTTAGGGAGCCCTGCTGTTGCAATCCATAGGCTGCTGCTTCCAAATGCTGGTGCTTCACTGGTGGTTCAAATCCACCTGCAGGTCTGCAAGAGAAAGATAGGCAACCTGCAATTAATACCCTCCAAGAAAATGCTGAATGGTCATCTATGGTCATCTGACTCAGAAGCAATGAGTTGTTGTTTGTTTGGGGTATACATGGTTTTTTGCAATCACTTGTTATGCATCAGAGAGTTGGACAATGACTAGGGAGGACAGAAGGAGAATTGACGCCTTTGAGCTGTGGTGCTGGAGAAGAGTACTGAATGTACCATGGACTGCCACGAAAACAAATAGATTCATCATAGAGAGGGTTAAACCAGGCTGCTCCTTGGAGGCAAGGATTCTGGGGCTTCGCCTGACATACTTTGGACATGTTGTAAGGAGAGACAGGTCTTTGGAGAGGGACATCATGCTGGGCAGAGTGGAGGGACAGCGCAGGAGGGGAAGACCCTCTATGAGGTGGATTGATTCAGTGACTGGGGTAATTGGGATGGGTGTGTCGGAGGCAATGAGATTGTCATGGGATAGAGCAGGGTTTAGGGCTGTTGTACTATGAATCGCAAACGACTCGACGGCACATAACAACAACAACAACATATATGTATGTGTGTGTATACACACACAGAGATATATTTAAATACATATCATTCATTCATAAACATATTAATACATTACAATGTATTTTGTTTACTTATATATAAAA